TGCACGATGTTCGCATACCATTCTCTTGGCCATCTGGGTCATTATAGGGACCATACTATCCGCGCTGGACTCGGACAGAGCGGGCTCTGCAGCCTTCCTGTTGAGCCTCCAGTGGTCACCCTCGCTTAGGAATACGCCAGACCTCGGTAACAGGTTTAGCGAATTGAACTGACGCATGTGGTAGCCCTTGACACGATCCTTCATCAACTGTCTGATAGTCTCTGGTTTCTGGGTAACGACGTAAGGGGTCGAGAAAACCCTGAAGAGGACAGACTTAACTGGCGGAAGGATAGGAGGAGTACAATAGCTCTTCGACCGACAACATCTAGGCAAGGACTCCAGAGAGAAATCATAAAGTCACACCCGACTATATCACCGAAATGGTACGAGAGCTGATGATGACTCACCGAAACCCGATAGTTTTGCCGTACTGCGTAATCCAGACTCGCATGCAGGCCAGGGCTTTCTCTTGGTCGAGTTGAAGAGCCATGCCGAAAAAGGGAACTCCCTGAGTGAGCCGTCACCAGCACTGACCTAAGTGATCCGATGAGGGAGCTCACCTTGGGGCCAGGGAACGGCACTGGTTTGATAGACTTTATAAGGGTGTCGATGAACTTGGCTACACATAAGCTGGCGAGGAGTAGCGCACCTCCTCCAAAAGCTCTTGGTGCATAACGGCGGACGATGCTGATGAGCTCCGGTGGGTTTACCCCGCCAGAGAGGGTGGAGAGCATGGGATGGGGACGGAGGAGTTAAAATCCCAATGACTAGAAATACACGGAATCAACTCTGGAAACCAAGAGAAGTGATACGAGAGAAGCCTGGGGGGCACTCATAGCGAAGTACCGTAGTCATAGAGTCTTAACTTGAGGGTAAGGGTCACCCTCAACTTGAGGAGCTCCTCAAACGACTCGTTTGAGGAGCGACAGTCAAGATAACCTACTTGAAGTAGGCTACTTCACCACAACACGGTAAACCGATATCGAAAACTGTCATATCGCGTAAAACGATATGAAGATGAACCGCGATTTTGTGACAAAGGGAATGTTTTTTTTCACAGCTACTTAACGGCGTTGAGTTAAAGCGATTTCCATTGTGAAAACTACGTCGTAACCACGAGACTCTTGGAGGAAAGTTGTTCTT